AACCATCTTCAAAACCCGAATTTCAAAAATACAGTTATTTCATTACAAGACAAGTGTATATAATAAGAAGACTGTCTGTGGAAGGGATAATTCTCCCCCCAGTATGGATAGAAGACCACTAACAATTAGTTCTCTGTTGACCAAGACAAGACAGGCTCGCCCGCTGATATAAAACATGGTTCATAGGTGGGATAAAATAGGGCACAGAAGGCCAGTAATAAAGGGTGAATGATAGAGCATGTGCATTACATACAGAAGTCCTCTTAGCATCAAAAACATGGCCAAAAGTCTGCCTGAGACACAAAAGCAGCTAACTATAGTTAGTTGGGAGTTCTGTTACTATAAACATCTACCAACCTGTCAAGTAATCTGGGAGAATGGGAATTGAACATCAAAGAATTGAGGGACACTCTGTTACTGACTCCTCCTCTGGCTAAAGTTGGATTAATACTAGGACTGTGCTTTCAAAGGACTGCTTTTTTTTTTCTCCAAAGGATGCTTTGAGCAAAATGTTCAAAGTTACTTTGTAAAGGAATGTGGCTCCTTACTTTTTAAGGATAAAGCAAAGCTGCTGCCTCACTTCATTTTAGCAGTGCTGTCTTTGATATGTCCAGTATCTGGAAGTGCTTTTGGAGAGATTTTGGACGGATCGTAAAAATCAGCAGTAGTGAAGCCAAACTTCTGTACTTTGATGAGGCAAAAAGTTTCACTTCTACACAGGGGACTTCATGGTAATAAATTGTGACAGCCTTGCATTGTAACTTTCAATATAAAGAAAGTATTGACTATGTTTAATATAATTTACCAACAGTACAATGTGAATGAAAGGCTTAAAGGGAGGAGGAGTTGAAGGACAGCATATACTGTAGACTTGGGAAATCTTCTGATTTTTGCACAGTAGGTCATTGGAATTTCATGTGAGTACCACTGATACATAAAGAAATTGCATTCAAGTTTGATGTTTGTTTAATTTTTTTCATAAAGAAAGTCATCCATGATGTGATGTGCCAGCATGGAAAAGTGTTTTAACTGGTTGCAATTTTGCTGCAAAAATAGTAATCAAGTGATTTCCATAATCAGTGATTGGTCTCTTACAGTTTTGGCCAATTTCTTCCTGCCAAACCAATTCAAAACAATATCTTTGAAGATTTTATAGATACAGTCATCATATCAAATCCTACCACAACATTTCTGAGAAGTTTAAGTGTGGAGCTTTATTTATCTTAATCTGTTCTCTTGTAGATTTATTGGCTTGCTTGTTTAGCTTCAGCTAATTACCAAATGGCTTGGTATTTTTCTGTGGAATTCTCTGATACAAAGCAGAATTCATAATTATTTCAGTGATAGCAAGTCATCTACATACTGAGGCAGTAAAGCATCACCAAACCATGACTTTACCATCCTTTAAAAGATGATTTGAACTTTGCTCAATGCTTATGTGGTTTCCACTAGGTAGAAACATACCTATGTAGATAGAAAAGGTCCACTTGGCTCATCTTTAATATTCTTTTTCAGAGCTGAAAGTTCCAGCTTTCAGTTTGTATTCAAAATGGGACATTTCATATAATGTTGACTTCAAAATAGAAGTTTTGCAATCTCTACTTATAAAAGATGAACTTGTGTCCATGGCAAGCTATTAAATCAAGATTCTTGATTTGATTTTTTAACTGGTATAATCTCTGCTGTAGGAATTACAGGTTATGTCCTAATCAATCATCCAGTCAACCAATCATCTTAAAGTCTAGCTTAAAATATTGAGATGAAGGGAGTGACAAAAAAGGGAGGGGGAAGTTTAACTAGTCTTTTAAAGATAACATGGATGGGAGCTAAGAACATTTGGAAAGTAGACTCTTAGTGTGCTGCCCCCTGTTTATATGTTTGCTTTAAACAGAAACAATCCATATTAAAACTATTTATTGATGTGTGAGTAACAACTCCATAATAGAGGGAGTTTTAAAGAGGGAGCAGTGAAATTATCATTTCACTGGAATTCAAGATCTGCAAGATTGAAAATAAAGCTCTGTTGTGCATAGAATTGTTTGTAACATCAACTGGTAAATCATATATTTCATTGAATGGAAAACAGTTTTTAAATTTTTCTTTTCTCTCTCTTTCTCTGTATCATGCAACATATTTTTCTGATGGTAGTGGATCCAAGACGTTCCCTACTCCCCTTGTAGTAGGCCAGCATTTTAGCATCTTCTGTTTTACTACATGCAACAAGTTTGGTGTTCTTTTTCTCCAGTTTGAGAGTGTTGCATGAAGTCACTTCTTGCAGTTGCAAGACAGAGTTGGCCCTGCTCAACTTTCTCTTTGTTCTCCATAATTTGTATTGTGTTCTCTTTGTTCCCCATAATTTGTATTGTGCTTATTTTAAAGTCATGCTTACATGTACACTTATTCATCATCACAATTATTCAGTGTGCCAAGGTTTGTAGGTTCTTTTTCCATGAATCCTTAGAAGAACCAATACCCAATGTGTGAGGGATATGCATGCATTTTTGTAATGCACACAGACCGAAGCAATCATCACATTCTTATCTCATATTATGAAATGAACATCTGAAATGGCCTTATTCTCAGTGTTAGCAATGGGATTTAGTCATGCTTAATTTGGTGGAATTATGCCATCATTATACTATTAAAATACTATAGAGCTTGATTACTGATTCATGTTATCTCCTAAAATAGAGTCTCTAACACTTTATAAAAAGTTATTCTAGTTCTGCAGTGGTACAAGTAAATTTATAACACTTAAGATTTAGCTCTAAAATGTAAACACCTTGTTTCTGAATTTTCTGTTCTTGATGAGCTCCAGTATTGATGCCACCATGTGTCATTTCAAAAGATGCTGTGTTCATCTAAGAACTGCTTCTATTTCTGCTATGGCACAGTCCTGGAGCACTAAACCTGATTGTAAAATCAATACTTGTAATGATAAAAGAAACAGCCTTAATATTTCAGCTGTAAGGGGAGTGCAAAATTTAGTTTGTACATGCAATTTTGTATGCCTATAAATTATGCTGACTTTTAAAAAACTGATTCCAAACAGATGACAAATCAGTTTGGAACTATGGTAATTATTGGGAAAATATTAAGTGTTTGGAAGAGTCAAGTTCATCAATCCCTAGATATGGCCAATCATATGCAACTCACTATATAGATGTTATAGCTTACCAAGAGCTTGCCAACTCAAGTTGTTTTTCAGTCTCTTATATGGAATTAAAAATGGCATGGTTATAAGCAAATTGCTGGTAGATGTGTTAGTCACATAAATCATAAACTATACAAACTAGACTTTAGTTCATACTTGAATACAGCCTTCAGTTTAAACATAGCTTTCATCTTCCCATTTAAACCAGTAGATGTTGAGTAGCATGCTGTCCCCTTCCTATTTCTTAATAATTACTTTTAGGACACTAGCTATTAAACCAGGTGCAATTTACGTTGAAAATTATTTTTATTAAGGCTGTGCATGTAGCAAGAAATGCATTTTGAATCTGGAACAGAATAGCTCCATTCAAAGTGTTATGTTGGAACATTCACGTTGGGTCCACTCTGTTGGGAAAAAAACCCTCAAAAGCTTAAGTCTTTTGTTTAATTCAAAGCAAAATTTTTGGTAGTTACACAATTAGGTGTGAACTTGGAACAATCAAAACAAAGACTACTACCATTTCAGTAGTCAGAATAACCCTTTAAGGTTGTTCTTTATAACTGGAATGTGATGAACTGTTGGTATAAGGACATTTTTTTCCACAATGCAATATAATTTTAATAATGTTTCCATTGGTTTTGATATTAGAGAGGATACAATCCCACGGTCAGGATCTCCTGAATAATTCCCACTGAAATGAAACATTTCCAATCCAAGAGTCCTCTTTATGATAATTTCACTGTTTATTTCAATTAGACCTAGGTAGGAAAATGGTTCAGTACATAGCACAATATATCATCATGGCTCTCATTCAGGATCCATATAATGCTCACTTGTGACTAGGAAGTTTATTTCTTCAACTTCTTGATGTAAGCAATTTCTTTTCACAGCTAGAAGTTGATAAAACATCACTCCTTGATTCGGTCTATGAGGTAATATTGCTCAGACATTTTATAGCTTCAGGAATGAGCCACTGAATATGTTGTATAGCTTGTGACAACTTAAGTTAGTGAAAACAATTTGCAGTTGGGAAATGAGAAACTAAGCAAACCCAAAATTGATAGCACCATCAGATGAATTGTATTTTCTGGGGCCTCTTTTGTCAGGATTCCTTTAGTCCAGGAATGGGTACCTATGGCAAGTTTATGACCTGTGGACTTCAATTCCCAGAATTCCTGAGCCAACATATTCCATTTCCACTGTCACTTCTCAACTGTTCATAGCACCCTGCCTCTTTGATGGGGAAAACAGAAAGAGCTTCACTGACTATATAATGCAAGGCAACAGACAGAGACATATGTGGAAGACAGAGACTTCAAACAGTGGGAGAAGAAAGTAATACATTTAAAAGATTTGTTTCCCTTTCTCGATCAGAAAACAATGCAGAGTATATATTGTAATAGGTATAAATGGGACAGACTGAATTATATTGGTTTCAAATCTATTGGTCTTTCCAGTCAATGGACTGGATTCAAAGTTTGTCAAAGTTAGATTCAGTTGTATTGGACAGTGGGACAAATGCTGCTCAGCAGTGCTGAAGCAATTAGTGGAGCTTCTATAACAAGAGGCAATCCACATCCAAAGAGCTATGGCTACCTTGCAAAAAATGACAAATAGGCAGCTTTAGTGATTAGTTTGGTAGCTTCCTAGAGACCTTTGTGTGGCACAGATATAGGTTACAAAGGTGGAGGAGCAGGTGCCCTTTGATAGGAGGAGAAGGGAGGTGGGTCATCTCCTTGGGAATACTGATGGCTTTATGACTTCATCCCTGCAGGTTAAACTGTCAGTTATTGTCAGTTATCAGTTATCAGAGGGAAGATGCCATCCTAGAGATAAGCTGCTCTTCACTGGGGCTCCTGGACTCTGGGGAAACTTCCCTCCTTTTGTAACCCACTCCCAGAGGGGTGAGTGAGGGTGAGAGTTTGGGTTAGATTTAGGTTGGGGGTGAGGGGAATGGTGAAGGTGAAAGGGTGAGGCACAGGCTGAAGGGGAGGGTGAGATTGAGAGGGTTAGGATCAGGAGAAGGGGCAGGGAGGGGAATGGGTATGGGGAATGGGAGAAAAAGAAGGTAAAAAGGGGAGGGGGAAAGGAATATGGGGAAGGGGAGACAAGGGGGGGCAAAAAATGCTTTTCTGAAAAACATCATGTTAGGCTTTCCAGAAGCTGCTCTTCCTTAGACCCAGCCTTAAATTTGCCTCCCCCATTTCAGAGGCATCTTCCCATGGTCTGAATGAGAATGGCTGATCTCTAAACGGGCATTAGCAAAAGCCACTTACTGTGCCCCACAAACCAGGCCCACCTTGGAGTTTCTGGATAACCCCTCTTGGCCTCCTCCCACCTCCCATAGATGTGGTGGGAAAACCCAGTGATCTGAGGGTCGAGCCCAGGGCAAAGCAAGAGAAGTGCTCACCGGCCAGTTCTGCTGCCCTGAGTGAAGCCCCTTCCTCAGATGCCCCTCCTCGCCCTACCCACCCACTATATTGATTCCCTCTCTCTGTCTCTGTCTCTGTCTCTGTCTCTGTCTCTGTCTCTGTCTCTGTCTCTCTCTCTCTCTCTCTCTCTCACACACACACACACACACACACACACTTTAAAAATATTTTCAATATATAAGTGCCTTGCTGAGATGAGCTATCTGCTGATTCTCTATTGAGTATATGTTGCAACATCGACCAAGTGTTACTGGTTGTTTGTCTGTGTCAGTATTGTCTTGACCAGTTAGTCCACTGCTTACAAATAGAAAAGAAAAAACAAAGTGTTCTTGAGGTTTATAATGATCCACCTTTGTAAGTCAAGACAATTGTTCAAGCTTCGTAACAGTTAATTTGAAAGGAAATAATCTTGTTCTCAACTCAGAAAAATACATATATAAGAATTGATATTCTTACTGACATTCATACATATATAATAACTGACATCTAAAATGAGCTGCTTTATTTAATATATAATTCAAGAGAATATGTCTGAATTCTGCAGCAATGAAATAATGCAATAGTAAGTTATAAGAATTTACAAGTAAGATGATCTGTTTGGTTGAAATTGTGGATTTTTAAAAAAAATTCTGAAGTAAGCAAATATTATTGCCTCCCAAAGTTAGAGTTTTAAATGCCCAAAAATAAGAACAGGCTAGCTTGTGTTAACTTTTTGACACTGTGGATCACAAACTATTACATAGTTAAATCTAAATTAGACATCTTAAATAGAAACAAACAGCAGAAACTTTTGGAAACTGGCTTCGGTTTGTGAACAAAACTTTTTTTTGTGTGGATTACTAAATGGAATGTTAGAGAATCCGAATATTCTTCTGTATAAATTGAACATCAATATATACTGAAAATATTTTTAAATCATTATATACAATTGTAAAACAAACATAAAATCATTAAATGATTTTTTTTTTGTTCTGATGAAAACATACTCAAAGCTGTCCTTTATATTTATTCAGAAGTCTGCATTGCTGATTTCAGGAAGACGTCTTTAGAACTGTGGCCACCATCCAACTGAGACTTAACTCATTTTAATGAGCAATTCAGTGCGTGACTTCTCAGAAAAACATCTCACTATTTTCAGGGAGTTTACTCCAAAGGAATTGTATGTGTTTACAGAGCTGAAGCAATACCTTAATCTAAATAAATGGACCCAGGTAGGTTTAACTATACATCAAGTCAGAGTTAATATATTTCCAACTACGTTTTCAAATTCTCTAAGCAATTCTAAGGGTGGCCACTTGTTCAAAGCAATAAAGTTTATATGGAAAACAAACACTCACATTTTAGTAATGTTTTGGCTTAATTAAAGATTGTAGTAACTTTTCCCTGATGTATTTTATTCTAATATGGTTGGTCGATGATGAAAACGCCATTTTGGAAAATCTTTGTCTCTCTAAAAGTCTTTCTGAATAATCCAAATATTTAACTCATTTTCCACAGCTAGACAAATACTTGTACTTAAGCATCATGGATTCAATGAAATGAAAAAGTGAACATGTAGTGTTCTTAACTAGGCAGCTGAGTGAACATTTCCTTTAAAAACGAACACTGGCTGTTTTTCAGGTTAAAATACCTAACATAAAGTGCAAGCAAGCATAGAAGTGAGGTGAATTTCCTTTCTGGGGCTATTTTATAGCGAGACATGCAAGAATATCCAACAGCTTCAAAATGCCAGAGGCTTACTTGACATTCAGGATGATTTTCTGGCACTGTGGTGGAAATGGCAACAATTAGAGAGATCCAACAATCATTTTATTATTTTCAAAGTTGGCAAGCTACAGGCAGTAATGGTCACTTTCCCTCAGGAAAGCCACAAGCAAGGGCCCAGGGCTACCAAGATCTTAAGTAACCTTCTCAAGAAAAACCCCATTAGGTATCTGCATTTAGCAAAATAAGTGCAAAGGAAGGAATTGGGTTTGTTTCTTTTTACAGTTGAGGAAAGAGATAATGAGCAAGGAGACAGGAGATCACTCATAAGAGGAGACTTGGCAACCTTTTGAAGCGCAGTCCTGCTGTTTGGTTATATGAGAATGCCAAACTCTTAATTGTAATTTCAACAGGCGGGCCTCTGCATACAGATGTGGAAGGAAATGATAAAACTGTTTTGAATCAGCATCCTTGAGAATATTTGAGTACATCAAAGAATAACAACAGACAGGTTACAGTAATTAAACCTTTTGAGTAGCCTGGAACCTATAAGCATTTTTGGTTTAAAACATTTTTACTGCATTTAACATATTTTGCACAGTACCATTCCCCCCACTCTCCACCCCATCCCAGTATACTCTCTTGATAACATTACTGGCACCCTCAACACAGTGCTTGGAATCCCAGGGTGCCAGCAAACATATTTTCTAGGTTAAGACAATAATAATGTCTTATTATTTTAAAACATTTTAAGTTAAAAACTGGGCAAGGTGAACCAAAGCATCAAGTGATCTGTACCTCTGGCAAACAAGGATCTCCTAAGCTTTTTTTATAAACTGAAAGTAACTGATGGATTTAGCTTAGTGGTTGTGTGAAAAAACAAACAAACCTGCCCAAGCTAAGGTAAGCAGCAGTGGAAGGAGCTGTGGTGGCGCAGGTGGTTAGAATGCAGTATCGCAGGCTTACTCTGCTCACTGCCAGGAGTTCGATTCTTACCAGCTCAAGGTTGACTCAGCCTTCCATCCTTCCGAGGTCAGTAAAATGAGGACCCAGATTGTTGGGGGCAATGTAAAGCTTGCTTAAAGAGCGCTAGTGCTAGCCTTATGGTGAAGGGAACCAGGGATGAGCAGGCAGCATTCCAATAAATATTTAGGTGCGGATGTAGACATAGTGATCCCCCCCCATGATCTTTAGAGGCTCTATTTGGCAAATGTCTGTGGAGATTCTCAATTGTCCAGGTGGTGGTTGTCTTAAAGGTGCTTTCTCCAAAAGGCAACTGGATTTTTTTTTCCTTTGAAAACATTTTGCTTCTAATCAAAGAAGCTTCTTGGATGAGAAGTGAAACATTTTCAAAGACCCCCCCCCTCCACCAAGAAAGTCCAGTTGCCTTTTGGAAAAAGAAAACTTTGGGATTCTATTTGGCAAATCCATATTCAGGATGAAGCTGGATAGCAATTGAACTTGGCAAGAAAGCCATCAAAAGGCATAACAACTCTAGGATAAGGCACCTTTTTGAACAGAAGGTTGGAATGCACATAGAAACAAAGCATAGTAATGAATGTGGGTCGTATGAACGATATAGGGGGGCTTAATTTATGGAAACTTTCATATATGAAATAATAATAAAACTGTAGCAAAACAAAAATTTGAAATGTTAAGAGGTTTCTTAAAATTGTGAGGCCCAAAGCTGTATCTTGTTCAGGTTATGCACAAACCCAATTCTCTAAAGGGTTGTTTATTGATTGATTGATTGATTGATTGATCGATCAATCAATTGATTTTGTTTGCTGCCCATCTCACTGCAAGATAACTCTGGGTTACAACATTATTCTAGGACTCTTTGTAATTGTGTCTGTCTTCTATTGCTATATTCCAGGCCTTCTAGGTATTCTTTATATATATCATAAAATACCAAAGCCCATAAAATTTTAGGACTCCTTTTTAGCAAATCAATTCCATCCATGTAAAACTATATAAACAGGACTGTGGATTAAATTTCAAACTATTCTGTCCTTTTCCTTTGTGGTCAATAGATAGGCTTGATTTATTAATCTTTCTTCTATTATTAATTATAATGCTGTCTCTAAAAGAAGATTTTTTTAAAAAAATATGGAAAATGCATATACCAAACCATACAGAGCACACAAAAAACTAATTAGGAAATATGTCAAGGAGACAATGGCAATCATATTCAAGCCCTTTGTTCCCATCTCAACAGAATTATAATTTAGGGGTCAAGCATATCTTTTGCATGCAGATATATGCATCTCCCGATATGACAGGAAAATATATCTTGAAACGTCTAATACTGATTTCAGTGAGTCCATATTCACTCTCATGATAGATCAGCTTCCTATGTTTTCTGTCTTTTTTCTTAAATCATACAATGTAAATAGGACTGTGCAACTTTGATGGAATTCTTTGGGACTGTGTCTCTCTGCATGGCATCCTACATCTATATTTGACCTATCAGAGGAACAAGAACTGACATAAGTCCTGTTAAGTAGGAAGACAATTTCTTGAAATCACCTAGTTTTACGTCACTGTCTAGGCATAGAATGGAGTCAGTTATAATAGAAAAAAAAAGAGAAAGTGCATGTGTTTTTTTATATTACCATCTTATTTCTAATTTTGATTTTTCAAAATAAAAGGAAAATAAAAATATGGAATTGGAAAAATAAACCAAACACCAAAAAAGAAGAAATAGTTGGAGAGTATGTATGAATATGTAAATATGTATGTGGATTTACATGCTCCATATTTAACTATATTCTATAGTACTGCCCAGAATGAAATTTCTAAGACAGAAGTATTAGAATACATCATTGTTAATATAGCCAGAAAATGATGGAATAAATGTATCCTTCATGGTAGCTTTTTTCAAGATGCTTTGTCATTGTGTCAATTTTTCAGGCCAGGCAATTTCCACACATTAAAATACCACTAGTGCAATGAAAGATGCACTTTATTTGTTTGCAGTAACAAACTTGGTGGCTAACAGCAGAATCAAATTTTAATATACCCATTCATATTAATTAGGAAAAACGAACAATATATTAATAACAAGATTCATTATAAAAAGTGGTTTGCGGCTTTCCTCAAATTCTTTAAAAACTTGCAGCCAAAGGGACTGACTAATTGGATTCTGCCACAAAAGATAACACATTTCATCTGACCAAAACAATATAGAAACATTCAATTAATACGGATTCCATATTAATATTAATTGAGTGTAATACCTCTATGGTTTATCTTCATGGTCAATTCTTAATGTCTTGTTTAAGTAATTTTCAAAGGAATTACGAATTTAACTAGATTCATTATGTTCAAATCCAGTATTCTTCTCATAAGACTTTTCAAGAAAACCCATTGTATTTTTAATAAGAATTTTATGCAGTATCTACTAAATTCACGTACTATTAAATGATGTTGATCGATACCATACACAACGCTCTCATCATACATCACTATCATTTTAGTTTGCTTTTGAGAGTAAAATATGAACATGCTTTTTGTCATCAAAGTGAACTTTCACTTAATATTTCGTTCATACTGTGCTTTACCGAGGCTTTCATCACTTTCTAATTCTGTTTTGATTTAGAAAAAGAATGGAACAGGTTTGTGAAATTAATGTTCACTTAAGATTTTTTTGTTTGTTTGAAACAGTGATACTGCAGGCATGGACAGTTGACATAGCATTTAGTTTTAAAATGAAAATGTCAGCTATTTATTGCTAAGAGATTGAAAACTCCTAGATGTACGTGCTTCAATTTGATGCAAATTTGACAAGACTGCTGATTTACTGCCACTTTATTGATCTATCCAGTAGGTATTCAAAGCAATTTACGTTACTTTAGGAAACAACCGTTTATGGAATATGTTTATAATATAAAATTAAAATTAAAATGTAAGATAACTAATCTGTTTATTATTGTTATCGGATTAGACATTAGCATGTGATAAGTAAACCCTCCCAAAGGGAAATATATATATATTTGAAAAATATAAATGATAAATTTGATCATTTGTATTTGAGTAAAAAGAAGCAGCTAACTTAGTAAATTTAGCTTCTTATAGACAGCCTCGACTGTTTTAATGTGAATTAGAAACCGTAAATCAAATTTAGGTATGTTAAAACACTTCATTGTGTTTTGAAATGGGCTCTGAAAGACGGCTTATCTACCATTGTAAATTGCAAACAGTATTCAACCAAGCAACTTCACTTCCATTTGTGCACCCAGTTGAAGGCTTTAATGATGTGATTGGCTCTCTGAGGTTGCATGAGCAGCCCACCAATGAGTTTCCTCACGTCATTAAACATTCTGCCTATCAGAACAAGCCTAATATGGGTTTGGTCTTCATTTTATCTTTTCAGTGTTTTTCATGTGGCCAATCACTAGCTTTAACTTTGTTTTTTCCTGCCGACAAATGGAAAAACAGCTTGCTTTGAAAACAATATTTAAAGTGTTTAAATTGAAGCAAAAAGCTTTTAAGATTGGTTCAACACTACCTAGGCTACCATTTTGTTGGACGGTTGTCAACTGCTCTGGCAGTCTTCCTTATTCCCACTTTTCTCTGTTTTAGAAGAGATGCAAGACAAATGTATTGTGGCGAGCCCACTGAAAATATCCA